GGCCAAGTTTGGTGTTCATTTCAGGAAACTATTCAGAATTTCCTGCCCAAATTATATTGAAATGAGTGAAGTTTGAGACAGGTTATGGCCCTAATCTCCAGCTGCTTACATTTCTTTTTTGTCTCTCTCCTCTTCTTTTTGGAATGTGAGATTTTATATCAACAGCTGAAGCTATAAAAATCCCCCACCTGCTTGTATCCAGATAAATGTATGTGTGAGACTGTGTGTGTGTGTGTGTGTAAAATAACAATGTGCTTTCAGTAGGCTTTGTTGAAAGAAACACCTATTTGCATATTTACGTTTCATGTTACCCTCCTGATGTTCAAATTTGGTATAAGTTGACTTTTTTTAGTGTATATTTAATGCTGAAATTTTCTTGATGTACAGTACAGAAACTGTCATGTTTTCTTGTAATTATTGTATAAATGCTTTTATTATAGAGCTTTTATTTTAACAAATGAGCAGGAATTGCCTTTTGTGTATTTGCTGCACCTTTTTAAAAGACTGTTACATATTAAAATATTGTACATATAAAAGTATTATATACCTCTTATGTATAAATGTGATAGATCAGACAATTTATTTTTGTGTGTGTTTTTTTTTTTTACAAACTATTAATACACTAAAAGTCTTGCTGATGTGATTTAATGTACTTGTAACTTATTTACTTCTGGAGGTTCCATTATATCTTTTTAAACCTTTTTTTATTAAATAAGGTTTAAAAACAGCTTTTGTAATATTTTTTTTTTAATTTAATGTTTTGAGATAAGAGGGGGGGTTTCCCTTTCTTGACTACCATGGTGCATTTCTGCCTGGTGTAATTAAATAAGATCTGTGTGCTGCAAAAGTTGTGTGCTGTTTTTCTGCTAGCTGATTTTTGTGTATGCACTCGTGGATCCGTTCTACAGTGAACTTGCAAAGAATGGAAACTTTCCTGCATCGAATTGCCCACTGAATTAAAAAGTTGGACAGAGTGAAAAGTCTAGCACCTCTCAGAATAGGCCAATGCAGGATTTTTTCTGTAAGCAGAGGTATCTGACCAATGCCCTTGATGACATTGCATGCTTCACGATATCATCAGGCAAAGGTAATTGTTACTTGTGACTGGTACAATTCACATAATTTGTGTCATTTGCATGATGACATGTCTGACATCATTTGTCCCCCCTGGATTCCTGTCTGCAGTTATTTGAATATGTATGTGATCCCTGGCTCCTTGAACAGAGGAGTTTGAAGCAGCCTTAACTAGAAGAAGAACAGAGGCCCCAACCCATCAGAATGGCGTAGGACTCAATTTGAACTAGTGCAAGATGAGGTAGTTTTTGCCATGGACCTGAATGTGCCAAACTAGAATCCAGCTCCAGACACATTTTAGGACAGGCCTCAACAATTTGGGATGTGACAATCTATGATAAAGGGCCCATGAGGAAAAAAAATATACGAGAAACCTATGAGGTTCAAGACACTGGTATGTTTAGCTTTAAGAAAAGACTGCAAGGAGACACAATAGCTATCCTCAAGAATCTGAAGGGCTGTCACAGAGAAGACGGGGAGTTTGGTAGTTCCAAAGAAGCAAATTTCAGCTGGACATCAGGATAAAAATTCCTAATAGCTATGCTCGGTAATGTAACAGACAACCTAAACAGTCACTGGATTCTCCTTCACTCGAAGTATTTAAAGAGAGGCTGGATGGCCACCAGCTGTTGATGATGTAGAAGAATCCTGCACAGAATTGTTTTATCATCTCCAGTTCTAACTCAGAATCATGGTTTCATTGTGTCACATTAAAGTGGCTTTCTGAGCTCAACTCCACTAAAATGATTACTTTTAAAGAGAGCAAAGATTTTGGAATGGCAAGGTATGGCATATGGAAAGCTGCAAGTAGTAAATCAGAATTTGGTAGAGGTGTCTCATGTATATACCATATATATTCACAGATAAGCTGAAAATTTTAGGTACCAAAATACACCCCCCAAAATTGGGCAGGGCTGATCCACAGATGGGCTTACCTGCGAGTGTACATGGTAATACTTTTTAAAAGTACAGGTAGTCCTTGTTTAGCAACCACAATTGGGACTAGCAACTTGGTCGTTAAGCAAAGTGGTCACTAAGTGAAACCACAACTATACTTGTTACTTCAGCTTTGCTTTACACACCTGTGAGTGTCATAAACATGAG